TTTATTTATTTTTGGGACAGAGAGAGACAGAGCATGAACGGGGGAGGAGCAGAGAGAGGGGGAGACACAGAATCGGAAACAGGCTCCAGGCTCTGAGCCATCAGCCCAGAGCCTGATGCGGGGCTCGAACTCACGGACCGTGAGCTCGTGACCTGGCTGAAGTCGGACGCTTAACCGACTGCGCCACCCAGGCGCCCCCAAACCACTCTTTTTTAAAAAAAATTATTACAAACAAATTTTTTAATATTTATTTATTTTTGAGAGAGAAACAGAGTGCGAGTGGGGGAGGGGCAGAAAGAGGGGGAGACACAGAATCCAAAGCAGGCTCCAGGCTGTGAGCACAGAGCCCAGTGTGGGGCTCTAACTCATGAACCGTGAGATCATGACCTGAGCCAAAATCAGACACTTAAACTGACTGAAACACCCAGGCACCCCTAGAGCCAACCACTTAAGAAAGTGGCTGAGGTTAGGTTTGCTACTGCTTTGGCTAATAAGGTTTTACCTGTGTCAGGTGGGACGTACAGAATGACACCCTTGGGGGCTTTATATCCATCTCTTCATAATATTCAGGATGAGTGAGAGGAAGCTTCACAGATTCTTTAGTTTCCTGGATTTGGTTGTCCAACCCCCCAACATCAGCATAGGTTTCCTGGGGGTGACTTTCCTACCTTCATCACTGTGACCAAGAGATCTGTGTCATCTGTGAGCACCCGTATGACGGCATCACCTTGTGGTTGAGCAGGACCAAGCAGCCTGCTCCCAGCAGATCCTTGTCTACAAAGGAGAGAGTGCTGACGTAGTGTTCTGAGCCCACAGATGTGGACACGATGGCATGATTGTCATCAGTGATCTCTTCCAAGCTTCCTACTGACAGGGGGGTCCCCCTCAGATCATCCACCTTTGATCTTTCCTCCTCTTGCTTTTCTTCTTAAAGGCTTCATTTGTTCCTGATTTCTAATGAATTCTTCCTCCATGAGAAGATAGTCTTTAATTCTAACTTCAGTAATTTTAGCCAGCACTGAGTGTGACATGTCACCAGTGGCAGCTTGCTGGCAGCATCTGGTCCCTTTGTATACTTCTTTTTCCCCACTCTAGTTGGTACAGGAGGTTCGTATTTCTTTTTCTTCTCCTTGTCATCCTTCTTGCCACCTCCAGGACCATGACCACCACTCTGACTTAGACCATGTTGCTTCGGCCGCGCAGACTGCCGCTGCCAGAATTGCTTAATTCTATGGAATTTTATCATATATGTGTGTTTGTTTATCTATAACCACAGTCAAAATACATTTCAAAGATTCTTTTTATTTTTTATTGATTAAAAAAATTTTTTTTAACATTTATTTATTATTGAGAGACAGAGAGACAGAGTGTGAGCAGGGGAGGGGCAGAGAGAGGGGAAGACACAAAATCTGAAGCAGGCTCCAGGCTCTGAGCTGTCAGCACAGATCCTGACATGGGGCTCAAACTAACAAACTGTGAGATCACGATCTGAGCTGAAGACAGTCGTCTAACTAACTGAGCCACCCAGGCGCCCCTCTATTTTTCTAATAATTTTATAATTTTACATGTTATATATAAGTTCTATTATACATTTTATTTTATTTATTTATTTTTTCAATGTTTATTTATTTTTGGGACAGAGAGAGACAGAGCATGAACGGGCGAGGGGCAGAGAGAGAGGGAGACACAGAATCGGAAACAGGCTCCAGGCTCTGAGGCATCAGCCCAGAGCCCGACGCGGGGCTCGAACTCACGGACGGTGAGATCGTGACCTGGTTGAAGTCGGACGCTTAACCGACTGCGCCACCCAGGCGCCCCTATACATTTTAAATTCATATTATAAGGTGAGAGATTTAGGTTTTTTTTGTTTGCTTATGTGTTTTTGCCTATGGATGTCCAATTGCTCTGGCATCATTTATTGAAAAGACTATCCTTTTGCATTGAATTACTTTTGAGCCTTTTTCAAAAGTCAGCTGAGCATATTTGTGTGTGTGGGGGCGCTATTCCTGGGTTTTCTCTTCTGTTCCATTGATCTGTATGTCTATTTATCTGCCAGTTAATTAAAATCTGTTTTAATTACTGCAGCTATATTATAAGACAACATCAAATAGAGTGACTTTTCTCACTTTATCCCTCTTTTTCAAGAGTGCATTAGCTATTTAGGTACTATGCCTTTCTGTATAAATTTTAGAATAAGCTGGTCTAACTTTGCTGGGGCAAAAATTACATTAAACCTATAGATCAATTTGGAGAGAATCGACATCTCTACTAAGTAGACTCTTCTAGTACATGAACATATTATGTCTCTATTTAATTTGATCTTTTAATTGCATTTTGTAATTTTAAGCATTCAGATCCTTTATGTGTTTTGTTAAATGTATACACAGTATTTCATTTTCTTTATAATAACTATAAATAATATTGTGCTTTTAATTTTGGTTTCCATATAACCTGTATTACTATAAAAACATCCTTTACTTTCAATCTACCTGTGTCATTAAATGTAAACTGAATTTCTTCTCACTTCAACCACCAAAAAAAAAAAAAAAAAAAAAAAAAAAAAAAAAAAAAAAAAATGCTGGGACACACAGATGAGCTGAGAAAGTACAACTTAGAAGCTTTTTGAGTCTTGATTGCAATGCTGTTTAGATATTTCTGTAGGAAGGGGCAAAATCACTTTATAGATTAGATTCCTGGGCACCTGGGGGGCTCCGACGGTTAAGTGTTGGATTCTTGGGTTCAACTCAGGTCATGATCTCAGGGTTTGTGGGTTCGAGCCCTGAATGGGGCTCTGCCCTGGCAGCACAGAGCCTTCTTGGGATTCTTTCTCTTCTTCTCTCTGCCCCTTCCCTGCTTTCTCTCTTTCTCTCAAAATAAATAAACATTAAAAAGAAAAGAAAAGAAACTGATCTCTATGAGAATCTCTAGCTGGAGCTTTGAACCACAACTTCAGGTGTAAAGAGAAAATCCATGTCCCTCCACCTCCATTCCCAGGCAAGCTCACTCTCTGGCATCCAGTTTCCTGGGGGTGAGTTTTCTTTTAGGAGTCTGGAGGAGAGGTAAGGACTAGGAGCTCAGCACAAGTCGAGGGATTTCAGAAGGGAAAGGGACAAAACGGGGCCGATCCCAACCTG